ATTAGCTTTTGAAATTTATGTTTAACGCTAACTTTTTGTGAGCTATAAATTTCATGCTAATGAAATTAGTTTTGAATAGATTTATTTTATATAACCTTATGCTTTATTTGGCCTTTCAACAGATATGTTTTAAAGGAATTATGTTTTTTATTTTCCTTTGGACCTATAATTTCTAATTATGCATTTCATGCTAAATTTCTAAGATATTACATAAATACAACATCTTTTTTCAATTCCAATCATGTATGTTTGGTATTTTTATTTGATAAGTCATATTCTCTAAAGATACAAAGCTTGAAAAAATTTGCTATTACTGTCATAACCCATTTAATACTAGAATCCTATAATTCAAATAAAAATGTGAGCAAGGATAAAATAGTATTATTAATTAAAATAAAATAATAAAATCAAAAGTCAAAATTTTCATATCTTAAAAAATCTAATTTTTTTCCTTCCTTTCCTTCGTATTCTCTCTAAATTCTTCCCATCTCTTTAATTTCTTCCCAAATCTCATTTCTTCTCCATCACTCAAATACAACTCATAAAAATGACATGATCACCTAATCTACTTCACCTTCACTCAAATTCTTTCTGGTTCCACCTCTCAAATTCCTATATTTCCTCTAAAAAAAACTCCCCAATCTTCCTTAGCCCTAACCTTATAAATCCCAATCCTAACCTTTCAAAAATGCAATTCCTTCACATTCTGGAGATTCCATTTTTAGTTATGAAGCATTCTCTTTCCAGAATTTGCGTTCTGTTCTTGCTTGGCAGAATCACTCGGCACGCTTTTGGGTCTCATAGATTCCTCTCCTCATTGCTTCTTACTTTGTTATAGTGAGTTCTTAAAATATTTATCACCTTTTATTTGAATTATAGGATTTAAGTTAAATTTTGAAAATTGGGTTTTGATTTTAAGTTGTTTATTGGAATTTAAGTAGTTTTCTATATTGCGTTTTATGATTATGAGTGATAATGTGTGAAGATTTGGAGGGGAGAAGAGAGTTTTAGAGTTTTTGATTGTTTGAAAATTTTGTTGGGTTTGATGGAAAATTTTCTAGATCTATTCAAATTTGGGTTTTTTTTCCTTTCAAATGTGCAATAAAAAACTGAAGCATTTTTTAATTATAAAAAAGAATTTCATGACTCAATGTAACGGGTACTTGAACTTCATTGTGTGTATAACGTACATATGTTAAAAAATCCTGATTTAGGCACACGAGCAAATGTTTTGTCATTAATTGAACTAATGTAAAGTTAATATCTTTAATAGAAAAAGAGTGATGTTGTATAAAATAACTGTAAAGTTTGTATTATTATATTGGATTAAGTGTTGAGGCATTAAAAAATAACATGAGAAGAAAATGAGTATAGTTGAGATGAAAATGCTTAGATAAATGTGTGGTAAAATTAGAAGAGATAAAATTAAAAATGAAAAGATTCAAAAAAATTAAAGATAGATCAAATTGAAAAAAGATAAGAAAAAGCCAATTGAAATAATTTAGACATGTGAAACGTAAATTTATATGTGCCCCAATTAAAAGAAATGGGTTTTTGAATTTGCAAGAGACTAAAACTTCAAGAGGTAAATCATGGTAGATGTAGAGATAAATAATAAAAAATGATATGAGGATTAATAAAGTAGATAAAAAAATTTTTTATAAAAATGAATAATACAAGAAGAATTAAAATTATGACCTAATATGATTATTTTTTTTATATTTTATAAAATCGATCTAAAATTATGAAATATAAAACTTAGTTTATTGTTGTTGTATCTTTAATTAATAAAAGACTCAAACGTTAAGTTTTAAATTGAGTATTTAACTTAGTTTAAATAGATAGAGCATGAAACAATTTTAATCAACAAATTATAAATATAGTGAAACAAAAATATAATAAATAAGTTTAGATGAAGGAATTTAGCCTCATAAATCTAAATTGAGTCCAACCCAATAAAGATTATTAATATTAATTTGGAAGTGAATTACTTTTATGGTTTCTAAATTTGAGGTGAAAATCGTTTTGCTTCTCAAATTTTAAAAAATAACATATTGGTTTTTTATATTTTTATGCTCATAACAAAAAAGTCATTCTGTCAAAAAATCATTAATGCAGTTGTGAAAACAATTACAAAGATAAAATTATAAAAAAAGCATAATGATAATTTTTTTTTACTTGATACAGATATAATAATAAATATTTAGTAAAAAATACTAATAATTTTGATAATTATATAAAAATAAATTTACTTTTTTATCTTTAATTCTGTTAGGAGTTTTTTTTTTTTTTTTGGGTTTAGTTTTATGATAGAAAAAAGAATTCTATATTTTAAAAATAAAAATTACCTGTTTCTCTTCAAATTTATTTGTTGTTTGTTTAAAAAAAGCAATTAGATATACATCATCATAAAATATTTCATCATGTATTTATCATTTATTTTACAATATTTCATAATCATAAAATATTTCTTTGAAAGTCAAATTTTTTAGTTATAAACTATTAGTATAAAATTTTACTGAAATATTATAAATTTTACAATATTACTTATTAATAGAAAATGACAAATTTAATTATTTGGATTGCAACTAAAGATTTTCATGAATCAAGCAAAATCTAAATAACACTTTCGAAGTCTCACTCAAAATCTAACTTGATTTGTTCATTATAAACTTGAATAACCCTATTTTAGAATTCAAAATTAAAATATTAAAAATATTTTTATACTAATAATTTAATATGTTAAAATGCAAATTGAATAAAAATATTTTATTAATAAAATAAGAATTTGGTTGGGTCGAGCCTAAATCTTAAAAATCATATTTAAAACTCAATTCGAATCAAACTTTATTTATGAATCAGGTTGATAGCTCAATTTAAGAATAAGTCGAATTGCAACTTAATAAATCTTTGACAAAAGGGTTAAAGGTTTCTTTAACAAAAATTTAATAATTATTTAAGACCTAAACATTTTATTACAATAAATCAAGTTTTAAATTTTTTATTTTGAATCAATTAAACTCCTAAACATCTATTTTCATTTAATTAAATCCCTAAACATTTATTTTCTCATAATTAAATCTTCAAATAGACAAAAATTGATGTTGACAGTTAATAAATTTTTGTTTGATAAGGGATCATTAGTGAGAATAGATGTTTTGAGAATTTAATTGATTGTAATAAAATTATAAAGTTTAAATAATTATTGAATTTTTATTCGATGATTTTTTTGACTTTTAACTTAGATTTTTTCTTGAAAAATAAAAATATTAATCGACTTATAAATTAGCATTACAAAAATAACAATAAAGGTACATAAAAATTAATATCTCTAAAAAATAAATTTAAAAAATTTTTATCAAGTTTTTATTTCCTTCATAATCATTATTTTATCTTTTAACTTTAGACTTATAATATTATCAATCTATTATTTTACTTTGTAATTTTTTTACTTCCACCCAATGATTTCAATATTGGAAGAATCGTTTTGTTATGACCATTAAAATATAAAAATCAATATGTTACTTTCTAAAGTTTAAAAATTACAATGATATTCATCTAAAAATTTAGGAATCATGGAAGTTATTTACCTTTAATATGGTTATAAAAGTGTTTGATTAATGATTAATCAGTAAAAAGTATATAAAAAAAATCAATTAATCAAAGTAAAGGGGTTTTACTGCAGCCCGATATATAAAGAGCCCAACATCTTTGGGCTAGTAAAAGATTGTGTGAAAGAAAAAGTTATTACGTGTATGAAACCAATTTTAAAAACCTCGTCTGTCATTACTCTGATAATTTATACTAGAAAAAATCTAGCATAGTGGAAACTAGTTACCAAGTCGTTCCAAGTTTGGTGCTAAAAAATATTTAGCATTTAATAGGAAATATAAGATTAGAATCTAGGAATTAAGAAGAGTTTAACAAAACTTCTATCATCTTGGGAAGTTTATAAATTGGATTTAGTGAGGGAAAAAATTACACAATAGAGCAATTCCTAATTTGTTCCAGAGAAATATTTTCATTATTTATTTTAATTTTACTTTTGTAACGGTACATAATTTTATTATTATATTAATTAATTTTATTATTATCGTTATTTTTAATTTTATCGAAACTCATTTCACATTATATAAATGAATTCTATGTTATGTAACAAAATTTATTTCATGTCACACATATCACGGAACAATTTATCCTAAGACACGAAAGGGAACTAAGCCTTAATCCACATGATAATTTTTATTCAAATAATGGCACAATTGATTTTAAATAAATGTTAAAAGCTTTAATTAAATTAAGTATAATAAGAGGATGATAACCTTAGACGAGAAAATCAATATAATATAAAAGTTTATTTTTGGATAAATTATTTGTGATCTCTGAATCTTTATTATAATTTCACTAATTTTGAATGCTTTCATTTGGATTTAACATTTTAAAATAGTTCCATTTTGATTTTTTTTCCACTAATTTATTAACAGTAACATAATATCCACATTTTAAATTGCATGACATGTCACGTGGTAATTGCCCTACATGTAGCGTGAATTTTTTTTCAATTATTAATGAAATAATAAAAAAATAACAAAAATAAAAGAACTTCTTATTAAAGTAAAATGAAAATCATTTTAAAAATTTAAATTTCTAAATGAAACAAGAGGTAGGGGATTAAAGTGAAACAAGAATAAAATTTTTCTAACAATTTTTAGTTTAAAGGATAAAAAAAATTTTGAATAAATATTTAATAATTATCCAAATTAATATTATTTTATCATAATTAGTTAAACTCTTAGATATTTATTTTATTTAATTTTGCTAATTGAAAATTTTAATTAAAATAAAAATAGATGTTTAATGATTTAATTAGATAAAAATAAATGTTTAAAATAAAAAATTTAAGACTTGATTTATTGTAATATAATATTAAAATTTTAAATAATTATTAAATTTTTATTAGATTTTTTTTTAATTTTTTGTCTAATTTTTAAAATGGACCGCCGCGAAGAGCGGGAACGGTTTAAGTACATATAGATGCTCTGAACGAAAAGGTCTATCTTATTAGTAGTTTTCTTCTACGGAAATCTGATGGGCCGCTCAACGTCCAAAGTCGAAATCCTGGGAAGAACAAATCAATCTGAATCCGATGATTCTCTCCACGAACGCCAACGACGAGGCCGCAACGTTAATCGCCGCTGCCATGGCCAGCGTCCTCATTCACCTCAACATTCAAACCCTAGAAGACGAAGCCCTGTCAAAATTACTGACAAAATAGGCCGTTTGGACCGCCAAGATAGCCTTCACCGCAGCCCCAGCTACGACATGTATGACAAACCTCGTCACGGTTGCCGTTCTGATTCACCTGAAAACCATAAGCCTAGAAGGAGAAGCTCTGTCCATAAGCAGACCCTAAAGTCGCTGCCCAGAAACTCCGAAAACAGCGATAGGATAGGGAATGGAAGTAGGGATTCAGTAAGTGAGTCAGAATCGGATGATCGGAAGCCTGAGCGTAGAAGTAGGAAAACAAAGCGAAGAAATAGGAAATCGTCCTCTTATAGTAGTGATGAGAGTGAAAGCGAATCGGAGGGTGAGGAAGATAGAAGGCGGAAGTGTAGAAGAAGATGGAGTAGGCGAAATAGGAAGAACAGTAAAGGAAGAGGAAGATGGAAGAAGAGTAGGCATATTGATTCTAATGACAGCGAGAGTAGTGGAGTAAGCGAAGCTGAGGAATCTACTAAGTCAAAGAAGCGAAAAAGCTCTTCACGGTTCAAGCAGAGTAAGAGAAGGAGGAAAGGAACTGATGCCAAGGGAAAAGCCAAGGCTGATGAATTTAGCGCTCAAACTGAGGCTCTTAAGTTTAAAGAATTGATGGAGGCTCAGAAGAAATTAGCTGGATTGGATAATGAGCCAATGGTTGGGCCAAAACCTTTGCCAAGAACTGAGGGGCATATAAGTTATGGAAGTGCTTTGAGGCCTGGTGAAGGTGATGCTATTGCGCAGTATGTCAGGCAAGGGAAGCGTATCCCACGACGAGGTGAAGTGGGCCTTTCTGCTGAGGATATTCAGAAGCTTGAGGGCCTTGGGTTTGTGATGAGTGGTAGTAGGAATTTGAGAATTGATGCCATTCGTATTAGGAAAGAAAACCAGGTTTACAGTGCAGAGGACAAGCGGGCATTGGCAATGTTTAACTATGAAGAGAAAGCAAAACGTGAGCGCAAGGTTATGGATGATTTGCGGCGGCTGGTGCAGCGCCATATTGGGCAGGATATTGCTCCTACTCATGACCCTTTTGCTGGAAAAAATGGGGCTGATGTTTGACTCTCATGTATGTTGATCAATATGCATATTGTGGATGATGTTTGGAACTCTTAGTTTAATATTGCAAATTTATTTGTGTCTGTTGCAACTTGCCAACAGCAGCATTATTGCTAATGCTAACTTCTGAGACTTGCCAATTTTTCATGTAAAGAGCTGCATAGCATCTGAGAAATAAGAGCAATCTTGGTCTGTTGGCATTATATGCTTTTTGATATTTCGTTTTAGGATTTCATCATTTTCATTTGGTTTATTTTGTGTTAGTTGGATTGATGCGTATGCTGAATATATAGTGTAAAAGAAATTGCCTAGTTTGAGACTAATGCCGGGAAAGGATAAAACTCCTGTATGAATATGAGGAAATATAAGCAACAGAATATTATTAATCATGCTATGAAAGGCTTACATGGTTTTTCTTAGCTGACGGCAGGTAGTAACAGCCATATATTTCCATAGTACTTGTATAGTCAACCATGAAGTGTGTTACATGGACTTCAATCTCCTTTAGTGAATGCAATATATTTGATAGATAAGATAGTTCTGTCTGATTTGGATTTCTTCCAGTTGGAAAACACTAGTAAGGTCAGAATTTAGGCATGTTCTTGTTGTACTTGTTATCTCTGTCATCATCATCGATTTGATTATTAGTTGCATGATCAGTTACATATTGGTTTTAATTATTTATTTCAACCCCCATCATACCGTCAATCTTAATTTTCCTTCTTGTATTTTGTATTAAGATATTATTTTATTGGCTTTCTGCAGGAAGATCTTTGGTGTTTTTGTGGGCAGAACAGTGGAATGCAATCTAAAGACGGAAAAGATACAAATCTTTTGGGAGGTATATATGTTGTAGAATTAATTGTCATTGTTAATTCAGATTTCAATTTTCCTGCAAAATATCAGAACTGCAATGTGTATGTCTGAGGACTGAGATCTTATGCTGAGTCTCCTCTCTATTCATCTAAAGTGCGAGTGTTTCATGTTATCTTTATTGGTCTGATCTAAAGCATGTTTTTAATGATTTTAACGTTCAGCTGTAACAGAACACTCCTCACCTTGCAACACTTTATAGTTGACAATCACCAATAATCCTTTCTCCTTCGTTGGTTATTCCCAGCCAGAAGTGATCATCTTAATCGTGCTATCACCTTCAGAGACACAATTGCCTTTAAACTTCTGCTTGCAAAAGAACCACCAGAAAATATTGCAATCTCTAATATTTATTTGTTTCTTTTTTTTTTTTTTTTATTGAAGAGAAATAAAACAAACAAATCCTGCAATGTCCTTCCACTGTAATGAGGATTGCTAGTATTGCCCATATAAATACAAGCATAAGTTAGAAACTTCTGATACATTTAAAATTTAAGTTATTGGCTAGTAAATGTCTTTGATTGCTTTGTTGATGACAAAGAGCCAGAAAGTGAATCATTGTGCATAGGACTGAAATGAGTTCATTTTGATTTGCTACCTGGGATTGTTTGCAAGTACAACTTCCTATTTGGTCAGTTTAAAATGGCAATAGTCATCATGGATTTAACAACCTTCAACTTCTTTGCTCAATCAGATTTCTCTTAGGAGGTTTTCTCTGAATTCTCATGGTGTTGTCAGTTTAATCTAGAAACTATTAAGAATCAAGTGGTCAAATGGTCAATCATGAAGTTTCTAAGAATGTAATCACCAGATCAAGGAAATAAAATGAAAGAAATTCTTCTAAGACTGTCATCAGTGATTAATATGGAATTTGAAAAAAAAAAAAAGGGAAGAGTATTCCTACACAAAACATAACTAATAGTAGCATGGCTTTGGTAAGACATTTATTTAGGTTGCACTTTGTGCTAATGCCAGTGTGTGGTGAGAAGTGTAATTCTTTGCTTTGCCAGGCAAGAATTCTATGGCGATTTAGTTATATTTCTCTATACTTTTATACATGCTTTGTGGTGTCTGCTTAAAAATGTGAATGCTCAGATACTAGGTATAGGCATTTCAAGAGAGGTGATTGATGCTTAACTATATGAACATGATAGGATGCATTGATCCTTAACTAGCTGAAGCTATGGCCATCTCTGATTGTCAAAGAATTTTATGCTCTTCTTTATGATGTAAAATAACATTTATCAAGTAACAAAGAGAATATTAAAACTCACACTTTAAGCGCTTTTGTTTTAGAGATTATGAGACTTGGGATTGAGCTATTGGCCAACAATCATTTGGTCTGTCGATATAGTGTCGAATTCTTAATTTCAGTAATCAAAGATAAAACCTTGACAACTTCAAATACCATTAAAAAAAAAAAAAAAAGCTACTGGTTACTAGTAATTTGATTTGCATTTTAGAAATCAAATAGTGCATCTGTGTGGGTAACTTCTTTCGGTACTGCTTGTTTGTAGTCGAGCAAGGGAAATTGCAAAAATGCAAAATAGATAGTTGATAGATGCGTGCTTTGACAGTTTGTATTGCTATCCAGTGTATTCCATAGCATCCTTGATGTATACTTTCATAGATTTGCAAGACATTACTATTTGCTTTTACATGATTATTTCTTCCCTAGAATCTGTTACCCATTTCTTTTTAGTTTTTACTGCCTTCAGATAAAAATTTCTTGTGGCAGGAAATTAGCTTTTTCTAACATGTTTTAGAGAGTGCTTATAGGTTCTCAAGCATCAAGGTGAAGGGTAAAAAGTGTGGGAAGATGTAATCCGTTGCCATCCATGATACTGCTTTCAGCTTCTAGTTTGACAATTAGAGGAATTTTTACATTCTTGTCACCAATTGCTTTACTGCACATTGCACATCTATTTTTTTCTTTCCTTTATTTTTTTTAACAAAATTGCGTGGCTTTTGATATTTACAGTTGTTATTATTTTATTATTTTAACTGCAATTGTTTGCTGCAAGTTGTTATTTTGATTAGTTTGTTGAATTGGTGGTGCCAAAATGCCAGGAATATAAATTGTAAAATGTGACTTCTAGTTAGTAGATGATCTATTGTATAATAGGCTTAAAGGCATGTTAAGTTGCAATCTTTTGAAATCGATTTGCCTGATATCAAAGGCCGAACAGTATTCAATCTATTTAATAGGTTAGTAATATCTGATATCTATTTTAGAAACTCAAGATCATTGGTAAAAATAAAGGGAAAAAACAAATTTAGGGTGACAAAGATGTTTTAATAAGATATCAATATTTATTATGTTAAATTTTTAAAGCAATTTTTTTTTTTTATAATTTCCTTCTCTGACTACAAAAAAAACTCATTTCAGAATTTTTTTTTTTTTTAAGAATTTCCATGTTATTACATTTTTCCAAATTTCATAATACCCGTATTTCATATTTTTCTCAATACTTTTTTATTCTCAATCTAATATGATTATTATTTTTATTATAATTAGTTTTTATTTCACCAAATTCACATATTCAATATTTTTTAAAAAGATATTTATCCAAACAATGCAATTGCAAGTGTTAAAACTTTAAATTGATGCATTTTAAAATGCTTTCATTTAATTTATTTTTAAAAATTTTTAAATTTCTCATTTGAAGTTCAAACACACCTTAATAGATGATTTTGTTTTCAATGAGTTAAAATAAAAGAGAATGGAACAATTTATATCTTTAGTAGAGGTGGTAATTTGGGCTTTAATTCGAAAATTCATTCAGATCAATTCAAGTCAATCAAGAAAAGTCAAAGATCAAAATTTTAAAAAAAAATTCGATCCAAAAAATCTAAATTAATAATAATTTAAAATTGACAAAATTCAAATTAGTCATAACCTGAATCCTTAATAATTTGAATTTGAAATCAATTCAATTTGAAATTTGTAAAAGATTGAATTATAATATAAAAAAACCCAAATTATGACTATTTTTAAAATAAATGATAAACATTTTTCTTAACTAAAAGTTCTAAAAATTTTTATTCTTTATAATAATTAAATAATTATATCAATATTTTACTATCAACTAAATTAATATTAAATCTTTAAATTCCATTATGAAAATTTGAAACATAGTAAATATGACTATCAAATGATTTTTAATAATATTTTTATTATATTTACAATAATTATCAATAAAAAATAAAAATACTATCTTTAATTTAAAATTTAATTTTATTATAAAAATAATCATTTACAATATATTATTAATTTATTATATTTATTCCACATTTGAATTTTAATTTTAATGCAAAAGTAATTTAAATATAAAAATTTATATTATAATTTGAACATTTTATTAAATTTGATGTATTGAGGAAAATATTAATACCATTATTAACAAAATTAATTTTAAATTATATTTTTTTAGTGTTACAAACACATTAAAATATTAAATTTAATTGAAAATAAAATATTATCTTAAAAATTAAAATATATTATTTTTAAAATTGAAATATGAAGATGAAAAAAGTTGAATAACAATCCGATTGAGAGTTGAGAGTTAAGATATGGTATTGGTTTTGGAAATTTTTATTTGGAGGGATTGTGAAGTTGAGAATTTTGTTTAGAGAGGATTGTGAAATTGGAAATTCTGCCACTTTTAATATTTTTTCCTTAATTTTTTTCACTTGTTTTACTTTTTACTTTTAATATTAGATAAAATTTTAATTTAATTTAATTTAATTTGATGTTTAATTGATTATTAATATATATTAAAAGTAAAATTAAAGTGATGATAGAATTAATTATTACTAATTATAAATTAAACTATAATTTAGAAGTATACTATATTAGTAATATTTTTAATATAATTAATTTTTATATTTTATTGATATTAGGATTAATTATATATAACTAACTAAAATTTTGAGTTTAGAGTTATTAGCGCTATATTAATTAATTTAATAATGTCTACTATTTAGTTTTATAATTGAACAGTTGGTAATTGATGATTGTATTTATAAATATCTAATGATAATATCAAAATGATCAAATATTAAAATTAGATCACTACTATATCAATTAATTTTTACATGTCAATATTTTTTAAATTTTCTAAATATTGATTATTAAAATTAAATCAATTAATTGATAATCTTTTAATGCTTACTATTCAATATTCTAATTAAACATTTAGTTAATCAATATATATGAGTAGATCTAAGGTAATTATATTTGTATTTAATTTATTAGAAAAACAAAATAAATGTTAGAATAATTCTTGAAAATTTAAAACACTTGTTAAAAATTATAATATAATGACTAAAAAGGCTAATAAAATAAAATAAAAAATAAAAAATTATTGAACTAAATGATTAAGGTTAAGTGCCCCATGATCTAATGAGTTATTGGGTTAAGTCTTAAGAATAAAAAATTATTTATGTAAATATTTAGTGGATTTTATATATAAGTTGTTGAGTCCTTGAAATAATTTTTTTATGTAGCCCCAATAGTTTTGGACTTTTAGTTTTATATATATTATATATATTTTTAACTATTTGAACTTATAAAATATATTAAAAAATTAATAGATAATATTAAAATACAAAATTATTGTATAATAAATATTTATATAAATATTTAATAATTTTTCAAGTTTTTAACTTTAATATGTTTATCATATTTTTATTTAATTAATAAAAAATAAAATTAATTATTAAATTTCGAAATTATAAAAAAAAATCTATAACCTATAAATATTTAAAATTATTCAATTTGTTTAAATCCACTTAACCCAAATCGAACAAATTTAAAATAATTTGTATTTAAAATGATTCAAATTTAAAATTATTTAAATTTAAATTATTCAAACTTGAAATGATTCGAATTAGCGCAATCCAAATTTGTCGGAAACAGCCCATTTGCCACCACTTGGAGGGCTATGTTTCCATATCAACATTCGCTATAATATATATAAAAATATACAAAAGTCTTTTCTCTCGTAAGGGGAAAACACTGTTTGAAAAACAAATTGACTATCTATGAATAAAAATAAATTGCCTCTGATTGAATTTCAAGCTAAAATCCCAATTTCTTTCATAAGATCAGAAACCGATTTGTAACCAAGAGGAAAACAAGCAAAAAAGAAAACAAAAGGAAGAAGAAGAAGAAATAGAGCGATCTAAACAAACAATAAAGGGAAATCAGAACTTGTACTCAGTTGTACCCAAGCAAATTCATCTTTGTAACCAACACCTTCACAAGAGGCTTCACATGTGTTCACAGCTATTGTTGCCCAGTCAAGAGAATCCGCATCATTCTTCATACCAAAGTAATAAAGCAACTGACGCAATTTCTGAACGACATAATTAATAAAAATATCAACACAGCTTCTGTGCAACTCATGTTAGAGTCTACTTTTTAGAGGGAAAATAGAGGTTTTGGGTTGGAACGAAATATTTAAAAATAAATTAAACCAAAAAGAAAAAAACTCAATGGGCTATCATGGAGGATCATTATTATTATTATTATTATTATTGTTATGTCTTCCTATTTCAAACTAAATGACAGATAATCGGGCTTCTATGAGAAGAAAAGATGAGATTACCAAGTACCTGAAATTCAAAACATAGTTGACCACCACAATAGCTGCATCTAGGAATATCAGCCTTAGATGGCGACTGCCCAACATGGGCCACGGTGGTTTAGAAGTAGCAGTCCGACAAAACCTGTTATTTAAAAAAAAAAAATACAAACAAACAAACATGAGAAATAAAGTATGCTGAGTGATAGCAAGGACCTTGAGTCAATGAAAAGAACAACAAAAATAAACCTAAAGACAAAACAAAGAATCACAATTGGAATCAACTCTATGCCATTGCCAGTAGCAATGCGTCAATACGTACTGCTAAATGTAATATCTTCAGCCTCTATTTGTTTGCTTTTTCAATTTTTTTGGGATGAACTTCATTTGTTTGTTACTTTATACAGGATGATTTGAAGGTGTCCAAGATAAGCATGTATGGTTGCCTCCTTTCACAATGCCATCCTCTGTATTAAGGTAATGTATAATTTATGGGGTGCTTTATGGTTTATATGACCTAACAACTCAAGTAATTTCTGGAATTGTGATAGCATGTCCTGAACTGTTATGTGGTGCACAAGGAGTCAAAAACAAATTTCCAGTTTAAATAAAAGCAGTCTCACCTCAAATTTTGCTGAGGGGCCCTGGATATCCTCTCTTGGAAAGAATGTCACCATCTCCCAGTGCAATAATTGCAACGAGTAACTAAAAGATTCAAACAAGCATTCATAACATGCCACTGAAACAGTACAGGAATCAATACCTCAAACTTATCCAAAAGTGACTCCATTGCATCGTCATTTCTGTTTCTGGATACCAATGAATTATTAGTATGTTCATCATCTCCAAACATCTCGGTATCATATTCACTTTCATGTTCATTTTTCATCTCATACTCTGGCCATAAACTCTTGCTTGCAACTGTTTTAAATGCAAAACTTTGATGAGAGAGAATTCAGAAAGATCCCCAACATCATTTGTCTAGGCTCTGCAATTCATGTACGTGTACATATCTATTCTCCACATAACAGTATCAATAAACAGAACAGTTAATCCTAGTAGAAAATGCACTGAAGCCTTGCCTACTAACATGACAATTTACATGCATAGTTGATTCCAACTCTACAGCAGAGGTACTATCACCTTTTACTTGCCTTTTTGTGTTTTAATTTGTGCAATTCCACCATTACAGGCATTGGGATCAGATAAATGAGGCTAAAGACTCAGCTGTTGACATTCGAGTTATGACCTGAGCCCCAGTGCATGCCCTGAAGAGTAAGAAAACAGAAAGGGTAGGCAGAGACTTCTCATAAAAGTTAAAATAAGTAGCACTTGAAAACCCTAACTACCTGCTGCTTTTGTGAGCAATATCGTGCTACTTTGCAACTACTACAGAATTTCTCTCCTTTCCAGGTGCCACAACAGCTACACAGTGGAGCTAAAATGTTGCTTGATGGACAATAAGACTTGCAAAAGAAGAATTCTAAGAGAAAGAGGATTCTTAATAGGTAAGTTTGACTTGCAAGAGAAG